TTGCCAAGAAGGAGAAATTCAAATTACCAGACGAAGTGGCAAAGAACTTGTCGAGAGATGCCGATGGAAACGTGCGCAAAGCAATTCTCATGCTAGAGGCTCTCAAAATGCAACAGTGCGTATCAACCACCAGTCTCACCTGACCACCATCTCACACGAGACTGATATTTCATCATACAGCCCGAATCTATCCGACTCCTCAGCGACCAACATTCAACCCGCCAAACCGGATTGGGAAACGTACTGTCACCATGTAGCCGACATGATCATCCAAGAACAGACACCCAAACGTGTGATGGAAGTCCGCACCAAACTCTACGAGCTGCTCAGTCACTGCATACCACCCAACGTAGTGCTCAAGGTGCGACTGAGACCCGTCAAAACGACACAATTTTAACCTCTTCGTATAGACTATAGCAGAAAGGGTAACTGACAAGGTAGACGAGACGATCAAGCCAGACGTATTGCATTGGGCAGCCTTTTACGTACGTCGCACTCTCTTCTTCGACCACTCGCTTACACCTTTACAGGAAGTTCGCATGCGAGTCGGACAAAAAAAGATTTTCCACTTGGAGGCGTGGGTCGTCAAGACAATGAGTCTCATCAAGGTGAGTACCGTCTCCAACTCGTGCATTCTCGCTAACGTTATTGCTCAGAGCATGTACTATGGTTTCGATGTCAACGAAGATTTTGAATAGTCAAATTACATGTACCTTTACTTAGCACCAGACTAGTCTCTTAGTAGAGCACGTTTTTGATTGCAACTTGTGATCTATTCGGGAGAGATGACTAGCAAACATGGACTAGTGAAGAAGAGGCACACAAAGTCAGTATGGTAATAATGAGAAAGCAGAGACGGCAAGCAAATAAAAGCCCAGAATGAAAGAGGACACGAAAGTGAGGAGCTCGGATACGCGACATAGGAAGAGGGAACACATGTGATTATACACAAGTTGGGGTGTATACAGAGTGGGGATACAAGGGAGTCGAGAGCTCTGAGAGGATGGGATTGGAGGTGCGGGTCTTTGTGCATCCGGGGAAACAAAAAGTAAATAAAAATATATAACGAGAATAAATGAACAAAGTGGCTTGATGTTCTTGTTTGTTGATATTGTTGAAGACCATTTGAGGGAAAAAGTGAGCCGGGTGGATGTGAATGGTGGATAGAAGGGGCGATCGGGTGGAGAAGGATGTGCGTATATCTTCATTCTCCTTTTTGATGCAAATGGATAGATGCCCGATCCATGAAGAGTGACTACTAAAGCCCGGTTGTCGTGTAGAGAATGAGAGTCCATAGAGGCTTTGGAGTCCAAAGAAAAGACGATAGCTGATACACGGATGCAATATGATACACACCATACAGAGCTGCCCCACAAGAAAAAGTATTAGAATAAGCATATTCTAGGCGACTTGGAATTCTACGGCAGCTCCGTTGGTCGAGACGACTGCTCCCTCTCTCTGCGAATCGTGGAGAAAGGGATAGCTTTGGAGAATGGTGGCGGTAAACGTCAACCAGTCTTCGAGGGTGACGTTGATACTATATCGCCATCCACTAAACAAGACGAGACGAGTCCAGTTAACGCCTCGATCAGTAGGGATACAACGTACGTATCGTTTCCTAACAAAGAGTTAGTTTTTACAAACTTAAGAGGGATGTACCGACCAGTAATGTCTATCTCCCGGGCATGAATCGAGGATCCACATCGAAGTGAGGTGCATCGATACGGCAAAGAGAAGGGTACACTGCAATCCCGGTTCGAGCATGGTCGGTTTTTCAAACGACTTTTGCGACTTTTGACGCATGGCGTCCATCGAGTCCGGAGGGACTAGGGGGGCGTTGTTGGTAATAGTATTGCTGTTGGAAGAAGCCACGGTGTTGGTGTTGGACTTGGGATCGGCGGATAGAGTCGAACCATTACAATGAAAGCAAAATTTGATGCGGTACATGTACAACAGAGCATAGGTGACGGCGATCGAAGCCGTCATACCACTATATCTATGTGATCGTGAGGAGAGAGTAGAGAGGTAGTCGTGTAAACGCACCTTGGCATGCTCTTTTCCAAAAGAGCAGGTAAAAACGAAGGACACGGGGTATTTTGAGGGAGATTATGAGCATGCTGAGTAGGATTCTGCTTGGCAGCAGAGCAAAGGCTAAAAGAGATTGGTCAGTAATCAAAAACATTTGGCAAGCCGAGCCACGTACGGAGCCTGTCGCAAAAACATTTTCCAGACAATCGGAGCAGCCCATTCGAGGACAGATTTGAGAGGAGCATCCAACACCATTTTACCCTCAAACGCAGCGATCACATCGGCCCTTCCGCCCGTGGTCTCCCACTCGGAGAGCTGGTCAGGGGTGATGACCGCCTCTTGTTCGACAAGATTGTCACCCTCCTCCCCAACGATCCCACCGAAATCCTCTTTCCACGAGACGGACGATACATCATCGTTGGCCTTTTCGTGGCCGAGAATGTTGACTTCGTGCTTGATGCCATCGGAGGATCCTTTCGAACGGGGACCAGAGTTGGCAGCGTTATCGCACGCGGACTCTGTTTCTGCCGTGCTGGCAGAATCGCTATCTCCAGCGCTTGGAGACCCCGAAGTCAACATTTCGCTGTCCCCCTCTTCCCCGTCTTCCTCATCCTCCGACATGACACTATTTGTCTTCTCCACCTCTGTCGCGGCATACTTCCAGGTTGTTTCTTGTTGTACTTGAGAGGGAGCTCTTGAAAGGGTGGCATTGTATTTGCGTGCCCACTGTCAGAAACGATGGGATTGAGGGTGGAGAGGTGGGGGACAGAATCTGGGAGAACTGGGAAGGTGTTGATGAGAGAAGTGGGCCTCGTTGAGACCTGCAGTTTTATACACCGTACAGATTCTGAATGATGGCTTCACGCTGGCCCGCGTATTAACCACAGAACTGAGCTGATAGCGGGTACAGGTGGGCTCGTGTATTTGGAAGATGGCGTCTAATCCAAGCGACATTGCCGTGTTTGGTTGCATTGGCTCGTGAGGCTCTGCAGCAGTGCAGTCTATGACCAACGATGAAAAGACGAGCTTAAAATTCCACAACAAAATTGTGAATAAAGCGCATTAGAGTCCAAGGAGGTGGGTTTGGGAATGAGCACCCGTAGTAGTGGCTGGTGTGGACGAGGTTGCAGTTTGGCCCTGACCCTCGCTGGGTCACACTCCTACGGTCTCTTTCCTTGTACTCTGGCCTCCCGAATAATTATGCCGCCTTCTCCTACATCCACGCCGCCAACTACCGCTTCTCTCAGAGCATGGTGGAAGCAGTTTACAATCGTTCAGAAATTAAAGGCAAAGGCGCCTTCGTCGTCATCTCCAGGCGAGTTTACTACCAGCTTGACCGACCCACCTACACTACTCCGCTCGTTCGATCAGACGACTCATTCGCTGATGCCCCTCTCATCCTTTCCTTTTCGTGTCTTGTTTTGCAATGCTTATTCGTGATGGGCTTTTCGTGTTCCTCCTTTATGGCGTATAGGTGGTGTATTTGGTGTACCGCTGCGGGAAAGTCTGCGCTACGCTAGCGTTCAAATATCGACTGCCAACCAGAATGGGTACGATAATCCGTCTCTACGCGATCACACGTTCTGAGAGACGCCGATTTTGCAGTGAACTATACGTGTGGGGCTACATTCCAGTCGTCGTCGCCAAATGGTAAGTGGCGGCCATATCCTCTCTGCACATTTTCCCCCTTTCTGCCGTTTTTTCTTGATCCTCGATCCTTTGGCATGTTTTTACTTGAGATGCTCATTCACTTTTTACCAGTGGACTTTTCCTCAAAGAGAAAGGCGAGCAGTGGACCCTATCCGTCTAGGTATCGATGACACATGGCTTACATTGGAGTTTACAGGCACAGAAGTCGTGGGGATCTTTCGCATAAGTGGGTCGAACAGACGGATGCGAGACCTGCAGATCATCTTCGAGACCCCCCCTCGATATGGAAAGAACATACAATGGCAAGAGCAACAGTTTACACCGCACGATGTAGCTTCCATCTTTCGAAGATTCCTGACATCCATGCCGGTTAGTGAAAGCTCGCCTTCATTGCCCACCCTTTTTCGACCATCCGCTTACCTCGCCAATGATACACGGTGATGGTACATGCCTATCCGATGCGCCGGCGACCCGCACCTCCGTCCTCAAACTCTATACTTATCGAGATCACTACTAACGCATGTTTACAACCCTGTCTTTTACAGGAGCCGATCATTCCACATTCTCTATACCACGACGTCAGTACCCATTTCCATTTTGTTATTAAACCTCAGGCACCCCTGACTGAGCGGGGGTCAATCTAATCCCTTTTTAACCTTTCCCGAATACAGTTTAGGAATGTGCATTGTACGTGTATTTTTCCAATTTTCCCATCCCTCGGCATCGTTATTTGCAAATA